ATTCATTCATTCATTCATTCATTCATTCATTCATTCATTCATTCATTCAATTTATTATATCTGGCCATTCCAAAAGACTCTAGGTGAATGGTTACCAATCGAATGCACACAGAGTGCATTACAGTGGTCAACTAGTGAGGGGAACAGTATTTGAGTAGCAGCCTGCAGGGCCTCCTGGTTGAGGAAGGAGTGCCATTGGCATATAAGATTTATTCGTGCAAAAATCATCCTAGCCATAACTGCTCCTCTTTGAGTAGCAAGTTCAGGAGGAAACCTCCTCCTTCCACTTCACATAAGACCCCAGCCAAGACCAGTGATGAGAATGTGTTGACTAGGGAAGCCAAACAACTAAAGCCACTCAGGATGATCAAGACTGAGCCAAACTTTATTTTTCCCCAACCAGAGTTAAATATCCTCCAAATACTCTGGTCAATACATTTGACAGTTTCACCTGTGCATCTCAGAGTTGAGATGTAAAGCTGGGTATTATCAGCTTATTGATGATACGAAACTTGGGGTTGATGGTTGACCTCACTCAGTACTGTAGATATTAAACAGGAGGGGGGAAACGTCAAAGCCAAAGGCACCCCATACACAAAGGGACATAGAAATGTTTTCTCCCCTCCCATCAACTCTGAGTGTAACAAACTACTAAAGAAGGAAGTAAACCACTGTAATACAATACCTCTGGTTCCTAACCTTTATAGTCAGTCCAGAAAAATACAGGTAGTCCTCAACTTACAACAGTTCCGTTCAAAGTTACAACGGCTCTGAAAAAGATTTATCATCGTTTTTCACACTTATGATTGCTGCAGCATCCCCATAGTCATGTGATCAAAATTCAGATGCTTGGCAACTGTTCATATTTATGATAATTGCGGTGCCCCTGAGTCATGTGATCCCCTTTTGCAACCTTCTGACAAGCAAAGTCAATGAGGAAGCCGGATTCACTTATCTATTGGATTACTAACATAACAACTGCAGTGATTCACTTAACAATAGTGGCCAGAAAAGTCATAAATTTAACAACTAACTTTCATAGCAACATAAATTTTGGGCTCACTTATGGTCATAAGTCAAGGACTGTCTGTACAGTGGTTGACAGTTTTGAAATCTGAGCAATTAAGTAGCAGAAAAATAGATGTGCAATCTCCATTCTAATTCTGTCACAGGTCATAATTAAGCACCGCCAACACTTATCTTCATGTTATACTCCAGTCTGAAGCCAGATTGGTTATACTGTGATTATACTGTATGTGGTATACAGGTAATTTGGGGAGAAGTGGTATTTTTATAGGGGCCTCGACTTGAGATTTATTGGTGTTTTAATAGAATGGGATTTGTTTTGTGTTGTTCACCCCCAAGAGTTTCTGTGAATAGATGGGAAGCTTTAGAAATTTCATTAATAAATTACTACTCTGATCTCATCAATTCCATGAAATACATTGTCTCAGCATAGCTCAAAGGATTGAACATAAATGAGCAGTAGGACCTCTACTAAGCCAGTCTGGATTTCAGATACAAGATGTATAGCTAATGTATAGAAAGGTAATGTTCTGTTGGTTTTATACATTTTGGTTTAATTATATATCATGTCACTCTTCATTTGTTTTTATTTTTTACTATACAGCAGAAGACGCCAACCTTGGCAATTTTAAGACTAGTGGATTTCAACTCCCAGAATTCCCTGGCTAACCATGTTCTAGAGCAGTGTTTCTCAACCTTGGCAACTTGAAGATGTCTGGACTTCAACTCCCAGAATTCCCCAGCCAGCGAATGCTGGCTGGGGAATTCTGGGAGTTGAAGTCCAGACATCTTCAAGTTGCCAAGGTTGAGAAACACTGTTCTAGAGCATGGGTGTCCAAACCTTTGGCTTGCCTGTGCTGCACTGAGTGCAGAATTATCTTGGGCTGCATTTAAAATATGCATAATATAGTGAATGTATATAAATCATTGGATTATATTAAAAGTTTATGATCATGCAAACTTTTATTACTGGTTATCCAGGGCTGTGAGTTGGACATGCCTATTCCAGAGGCTTTTGTAAATGCATATAAAAGCTTCAGCTGCTGTGAATGCCATATGAATTTAGGAAATAGTTAACAGTGGCAGCATTCTGGCTGAAAATTAGCAATAAGGATTGGAGGCCAGTATGAGTTCACCAGTTAGCAGGTTTAAGACATGCACAGGAGAAATTTAGCTCAATGCAAAAATAATATGAAAACATGAAAGACTTAGAAACAGTATCTGAAGTGTCCACCATTTCCAAAGTTTGCTAATTTCTTTCTGACACTCTAAAATCTTTTCTGGTTTGATACAATTATTGGCTACACTGCAGTTCAGAAGAGGTAGTTTCCGCCGCACAGAAACTTTTATCCAGACATCAAAAACACTGATATAGATATATCAGTATAAAGTTCCCAAGATCAAAAAAAGTTTTGGCTTTTTGAACTTTTACAGTAGCTTGTTATAGCGTGTGGGATGCATACGTTTTGCTATGCAGTAGCTATACAACTCTCATTCAGCTTCCCTTCTGCATTCTGTGAAGTGGTTGTTCCAGATTATTCCTTTTAAAGAACCAAGCAGAGAATATTTTATACAGCAAATTATAAACAGCTTGAAGAAAAAAAATAGCAACCATTTATTTACGTATTTATTTAAAAGTTAATTTATGGTCTAAGTGGACCATATATATCCATGAGGCGAACCTATGGCATAGGTCTCTCTGTGGGCATGCGCACTGTTGCCAGCTGCTCTTCTGTTTTCCAGCACACACATGTGTGCCAGCCAGCTGGTTTTCGCGGGCACCAGAGCATCGATAAACAGCCTGAAAACAGTGGCAAAAACGACCAGAAAACAGGCCATTTTCTGGACCATTTTCAGGCCGTTTTCCAGACTGTTTTTCAGAAAACAGCTGGAAAATGCCCCCTCCAAATGGCCTGAAAACAGCCTGAAAAATGCCCAAAAAACAGGCATGCATACACCGGCCAGCTGGTTTTCGGGTTTCCAACGCTCTGGTACGTGCACACACATGCATGCGTGTTCCAGTCTGCGCACTTGGTACTGAAAAGGTTCGCCATCACCTGTTTTCTGAGACACAACTCTGGGCAGCTAACAGTAATAATAAAGCAACAATCAAACAAGTAGAACACATCACCCATTATAATTACACAGTTATACAGGCCCTAACATTGATATCCTTGATAGCCTGGAAAAAAGGCCAACTCTTAATAGTTTTCCAGAAAACTAAGAGGTTGGCCAGAAAGTGTTCCATAACGTAGGGGCCACTACAGAAAAGCCAAGCTTCCTAAGATCCCACTAGGATAGCAACATTTGAGAATCTGGGCCATACCTATTCTACCTGACCTAGTGGGATAGGGAGATACCCTCAGGGAGAAATGGTCCTGTACATAACCTGGCCATCTCCCTTACAGGACTTT